ATCATGAGTCTTAGAAGAAAGAGCGTAAGTGGGATCATCAGGGTCAAGGATGGGTTTAGAGATGTGTTCTGATGGGACATCTAATATGGGCATAGAAGGGGAGAGAATAGGAACGGCTTCTAGATAGCTTGGCTCTCCTTCTATAGTTTCACTAGACATGCCACCCTTGTGTTCTTCCCAATGTCCTATATGGGAATAAGGACGCTTTCTAAGAGATCCCTTCTTGAGAGGATTTGAATTATATTCGCTCGAAGGTCTCTTGTGGAACTGGAAGTTTAAGCTTTTCTCAAAATCAGCATCACAAAGATCATCCCCGCAAGAAATTTCAAAAGGTTGAATTTCTTATTCCCTCTGAGGATTTTGGGGTATTAATGGTTCGGGATTGACAGCTAAATCTTGGGATTGGAGTGGTTGTGATTTGGCTATCAAAACTTTCTATTCTTGTTCGGGAGATGATTCCTTCTCTTCCTCGGGGAGTTCATTATGAATGTTAGTGCAGGGAGTCTTTCCACTAATTCTATGAAGCATATATCTTACTTCACTAACAGACAAATAAAGGAAAGCTTCTCTAGAGGCTTGATCAAGGGTTTACGTAGAATCCTTGCTAAGACCCATATAAAAATGTTGAAGAAGCATAGGGTCTTGATTGGCAATGTCTGGGCCAGTGATGATGAGACTATTAATACATTTCCATGATGTGCCAAGAGATTCTTCTTCTAATTGTCTAAAATTTAGAACCTCTTTTCGAAGACTAACTACTTTAGAGATGGGAAAGAAACGTAAACAAAACTTAGAGCATAACGTTTCCCAATCTCCTTGCATACTTTCTACGGTTTGACTGTACCAATGTTTAGCTCTTCCCATCAAAGAGAACAAAAATAACTTCCATCTTAAGGTCTTCTCATACATGCCAGTGATACGCAAGCATGCATAAGTCTGTTCAAACTCTTGTAGGTGTGAGTATGTGTTTTCATTGCCTTCTCTCGAGAAGTATTGATACCGAATTAGTTTTATAAAACACGGGCACAGCTCATAGCCCAGTGTTAGGATAGGTTCTAAAGATTTTGGTGGCTCTAGGCTTGCGCTCGTGGGTTTAGCATATTGATAGATAGGAGTGGAATCCATAGTCAAGAAAAAGTAGAACAAAAGAAAGAATAAAAGATAAAATGTTAAGCTAGGCTCGAAGTTAATTCAGCAACCGTTTCCCCGGCAACGGCGCCAGAAAGCTTGTTGGTATATTTTATCGCACATAGATAAATCCACAAGCGCACGGATACCGCTGTAGCTTTTACCCGAAAGTATTCCAAGTATCGTATCCACAGGAAAACATGTGAGACTAACTATGGTCTAACTTAACAAGTGGTAGCGACTAGGTTAAGGTTTAACTTGACTAGAAGTAGCAACAAGGCTAAGGATAAATAGGAGCGTAGAGAGGATAACTGAGGTTCTCTAATTCTGACTTGGGTAAGCTATGTCTTTTACTATTCAACTGGGGACATTAATTAAGAAAAGACACCAGCAGAGGATGCTTCCCGTAGTAACCGCGTCCTACTTGCCCTACAAACGGTTGGTGGACTACAAAGGATCAACGATGCTATATAGTACGAGGCTATATAGTACTGATGTCACAACCGCGATCTACCCCCGATCCAGAATGTAGGATGCATCCATGATTAACCTAAGTCTAAGCACCACGCTTACACTCACGATTAATACTCTACTCCCCTTAGGAAGAGAATAAAGCCCTCAAAAGTGAGTCGTGATCCTGATGAACAATATAAACAAAATATTACTTGAATCAGAAGTTGATTACCAGAGAAATCTCAGAAGCAAGCTCAAGTAGAACTTGATTCTGCCAAGGTACAAGCCGTAGAGAGAGCACCGATAGGCCGGCATCTCCTCCAAACTCTTCCATCACTTTCTATCTCACTATTTCTAATTATAAGACTAAATCCTATAAAGGACTAATCTTCTCTTGATAGCTGGCTCTTATCCTGACGAGGAGAATATGAATTAGGGTTTCAGGCTGGCTCTAGGGGGCAGCAGGGACTGGTATATATAACCCGGAGCGTCCAATGTGAGCCCTTGGATCAAACCGACTTAAAGGACGCCATAGATGCAACCTAGGAGGCGGTGGAGAACCAACATTCAAAGGAGGGGCTAACATATGGGCCTAGGGGGCCGGGCGGCCGGCAGGTCGAGCTGCCCGGCCCCACTTGGCAGCCTATGCCCTCTGCTTCGGCGTGGAGTCCTCTCGAGTCTTCTAGAGTCTTCTAAAGTCCATTTCGCTGTGGATAAGCGCGATTAAATCTGACATGTAGGTCCACCTTGATGGTTTTCTAGATAAACCCTGCTGAAAACACAGATTCACCAAAACTCATGAAATTTATTAGTTTAAACCCCCTATAACCATGTTTGGTGATGGAATTAAGTATAAATATAGGTTATGTTGACGGTTTATAATTGATGTTAGTGACCGTCAACAACCATCCTTCTGAGCCCTCTTCGCCATGAAGGCACAACTGGCAAACTGATACTCACCTTCGACGCCATCAATCTTTGCCTTCTTTGGCTGATGCTGAAGTTCATAATACGTGCAAAATGTATCCAAATCCGGGGGAGCACCATATGTCTCGCAGGCGTAGCAAAACTTACTCAGCGTAAGAATGCCGTTGGGAGTAAGATGGTGGAGCTGTACCTTAAAAGTCTCGAGAACCAAGCGAAGGAAATAGACTGGAGGTATGCAAAGGCCACAAGCAAAAAAATCCTTGAAAACAACAGCCTCATCAACCTCTGGCTGAGGCACAGTCTCACCGCACGGAGGACGACCCTTCCCAGCTGGGAAGCAGCCCTCATCCTCCAGAGCCTTTATCGCCTCTTCCGTCATGAGCGAAGGCCCAAAATCCCAAGACCTGGCCATTTGAACCTTCGCCTTTTTAACCGGGGAAACGAGAATCGGGTCTCCGACAGAAGCTTCAATATTCTCTAAATCATCTTGAGCCTCCGCAGATGTAGACATACACTCTTCGTACCTCTTTGACCAACCGTCAGACCTCACGTCAAGCACGGAGGAATAAGGACCGCTGAAGCTAGGCCAGTGAAGATCAGGGCTAGTAAGCGAAGCCACTTCTGAAGGCAACACATAACGAAAAGGAGGAGGAGCGCAAGGAAAATTGTAAGGCACCAAGACAAGACAACAAAGCAGCACAGGCGGAGCTTGGAAAGCTATAGGAGAGAAAGCGATGGCTCGAGCGGCACCGGGGGGGCCTCCCCACCAACCCGCCCTTTATGTAGGCCACGGGGGACGCTTCGAATTCCAAACACCAACGGTCGCGACTGTTCGCGAGCAGCGGGCGCCGGACCAACGCAACGAGTCAAACGGCAACACGTCACCCCTCCAATGGTCCGATATGGGCGACCCAAGGGGGAAAGGGGCAAGCCTCCGCCACTCGGTATCAGTGTCACGCTTGAGGCTCACAGCCTGCTCGCATTGGACCGCACCCTCAAGGGGGAACTGTTGGAACACCAATACACGAGTAGCGGAGGCCAGTGCAAACATAAGCTAATACCATTGGAACATTTGTGTAAGTGTTTTGCAGGGATGCTAGGCGAAGCCTTCGCGTGGAGCCTGCGATGGAGCGGAGACCCCAACAATTCAAGCGGAGGCCACCCACGTTTCGGGAAAACCCAGAAGGCCTCCACCAATAGCAAGAAGGCCTCCGCCACTGGCCGTCGGTAGGAAGGAAGCCCGAGCATGACCCTGAAGATGTCCGGAGGAGTCCATAGGCGGAGACTCAGGAGCCAAGGTGGAGGCTCCGGCGGCCCGGGCGGAGGCTATGCTATCTTCGCCCGAGAGAAAGGGGTCTTCACTGCGCCGCGGCCCAAGATCAGAGATGGGCCTCCCATGGACATGAGGCTAAGGCCCAAAAAGCAAAGGCGGTGCAGGTGAACAAGGCCCGAGATGCTCATGAGGATTTGTACAGTCATGGTCATGTTACGTGGCGGTTGTGCCATGCATGGACCAGGTTTATTAAAAGCCTGCTACAGTGCTAATCCCCAGGCACAAGGTGCGACGGCCGAGGGCCCAGGCAGGGGAGGGGCCCAAGTCCAGGTATACAAACCCTCAGGCCCTATAGTCCATTAGGCATCATCAGCAAACTAATGAGAAGACAGAAGATAGTCACAGAACTAGCCAGGCGGTCGAAGAAGACAACATCGGCCTTTCTTTTCTAGGCAGAGAGGAGGCGAGGAGCCATGCCGCACACTCTGATCGCGACTAGCGAATTCGCGTCGCGCCGATGCACGCACACGGAGCCGGCGAGCCGCGACGCCGCGGAGAGCTGGACTACCGGGGAACGGCACACGACGGCGGCGACCAGGCAGGGCTCCATGAGGATGACATCTTGGTTCCTGCCTCCTTGCGAATTGCGATCACCGATCAGTTGCTGTCAAAATCTTAGGACCGGCAGTGCATATAAGAAACTTATATCGTATTTTTAAAAGAGAGAAAGAAAACAAAAAAAAATGAGTGGAGCAACCCACCTCAACCCTCCAGCAGCTGCATGGAGTGTCGTATCATGCATGGCCGGAGACCAGGCTGTGTGGGCACGGATTGAGCAGGCGGGCCAGGCCGTGTGGGCGCAAGTCGAGAAGGCAGGCCAGGCTGCATGAGCGCAGGTCGCGCACTTGCGCTGGAGCGCGACCTGTCGTCGGTTAGACTTTGCGAATAAAAAATTCGGAAGACCCTTAGAAGTCTAGTCTTTTTTTATCCACTTGTCATGGTTTGCTGTGGGTCCATATATACTGATTGAGCTAAGCCGGGTCTCATTTATGGATTCTCTTCCCATCGTCTCTATAAATATATCAAGTTATCAACCGACACAACGGGAGCGCCAAGCCACTGCGAACTGCCTAGCTTAGTTTGATCTCATCAATCGAAAGCTTCCTTGGTCATCCTTAGTCCGTCCGAGTCCTAGCCAACCCAAGCTACTCATCAATCCATGGCGATCAAGGATTTTTGGGCCGGGATTGGATCAGCTCTGGCGTTTTTACTTGCCCTCATCACCATGGCCATGAACCAATCCAGGATCAAACTGTTGATCAACAAGATCAGCGTCTACTTCAACCCATACGAAAAAATCACCATCCCAGAGCACGGCGCCGAGCGTTTCCAACGCAGCGACTTGTTCGTCGTGATCGAGGCCTACCTCTCCGACTTGTGCCGTGAACTTGGGGCGCGCAAGCTCAAGGCCGAGCTGGAGAGCCACATGCAAAAGCCCCAGGTGTCGGTTGACGACGACCTTGAGATAATTGATACCTTCATGTGGTGCCACGCTCTGGTTGTACGCCGACAAAGAGTTCCCGAAGTCCAACGTCATCAGCTTGGGTCCTGGTGACGAGAAGCGCCGCTTCTACCGGGTTGCCTTCCATAAAAGGTTCCACAACCTCATCCTGAACAGCTACCTGCCCCATCTCATCCACCAGGGCCGTGACGTCATCGCCCAGAACCGCCAGCGCCGCCTCTTCACCAACAACCCAAGCAGCCGCTGGAGCTCCTACGGCGGCGGACACAAGACGATCTGGAGCCACATGGATTTCCGGCACCCGGCGAAGTTTGACACGCTCGCTATGGAGCCTGCCAAAAAGGAGGAGATCAAGGATGATCTCAACGCCTTCAAGGTTGGAAAGAGCTACTACGACAAGGTCGGCAAGGCATGGAAGCGTGGATACCTGCTGTTTGGGCCGCCAGGCACCGGGAAGTCCATGATGATCGCCGCCATGGCCAACCACCTGAACTACGATATCTACGACTTGGAGCTCACGGCGGTGAAGAACAACACGGAGCTGCGGAAGCTCCTCACCGAGACCAAGGGAAAATCCATCATCGTCATCGAGGACATTGACTGCTCGGTCGACCTCACCAACAAGCGCAGGGACATGAAGGCCGACAAGAAGTCCGACGACCAGAGCGACGTGAAGACCATGCTACAGAAGAAGGAGGATGAGAAGGACGACGAAGCCAGCAAGCTGACCCTTTCTGGGGTGCTCAGCTTCATCGACGGGCTATGGTCGGCGTGCTGCGAAGAGCGCATCTTCGTCTTCACCACCAACTACAAGGACAAGCTGGACCCAGCGCTGATCCGGCGAGGCAGGATGGACATGCACATCGAGATGTCCTACTGTCGCTACGAGGCGTTCAAGGTGCTGGCCCATAACTACCTGGACATCGACGAGCGCCAGTTTTTCGAGCTGTTCGGTGAGATACACCGGCTGCTGGAACAGGTTGATATGTCTCCTGCGGACGTTGCCGAGCACCTGATAAGGACGGAGAAGAAGGATGCCGGCGCGTGCTTGGAGCGTCTCGTCAGAGATCTGAAAAAGTTAAATGCCCAGAAGAACCCGGCAGCCGATTGTCCTCCACAGGATCCAGTTCTGACGGTGACGCCGGATTTAAACCCGACAGTGATCAATATATTTGAGAAAGCAAGGGACAGTACATTGGAGTCATAAACTGCCACCGTTTGTTTTATTATTGTTGTTTTTAGAGGGAGTAATAAGTAGCTAAGCTAGGCTAGCTTAGTTTGCATGAGACGTTGTGCTTTCAACTACTGCTATCTTTAGTCATGTCAGTTGATTTTTTTTTAAGATCCGGTTATCCAGCTTTGTATTAATATAAGAAGGTTTCAGAGTTTGCAGCTTACAAGCGCGAGGAGCCCTAGTTCCAGATGTGCCATAGTGTGAGAATGGCTAGTGAATGCGCTGTTTTTGTGCCCTTTTGTGTCAAAGCTATAAACAAATCTTCTGTTTGATTGTGATCGGACCATCCCGATGGTTGTAAGTTTTGGCAGTTGCTCCAAACAGCTACCACCTCCCAAACAGCTCGCGTGAATGGGCACTCGAGGAATACGTGAAGAGAGGTTTCGGGCTTCTCTCACCAAGGTTTTTAATTTCAGTATCGCCAAAATTTCGGCCACCACCGAAATTACCGAATTTCGTAAAATTCGGCCGAAATTTCGCCGAATTTTTTTTTAGAGATTAGCACATGAAGTATGTTTTTTTCTAAAAAAAAGTTGGATCTAAACAAATATTAGTATGATTTATGACTACATATCTATTAAATAGAAGAATATGCAATATAAATAATAGAAAAATATAAGATTAAAGTTATATAGCACGTGTATTAAAAAATTTCGGAGTTTTATTTTGGCCACCACCGAAATTACCGAGTTTCGTAAAATTCGGCCGAAATTTCACCGAATTTTTGAACCCTGTCTCTCACACAGGGCGCAGAAATAGTTGTTCTTCCACCCGAGTAGCTGTAGTCTTGCCGCAGTCCATAGTCTGTCCTATAATAGGATCCACGAGAAAAACTTACATCGCGGCGGCGCCCATGTCTTCAAGATCTGTGTGGGAAAGTTGGAAGCAATTTGTCCCGAGAATTGGATGTTATAAGCCGAGTTTGCAGAGTACTCCCCAGAGCTTTCAAGGGACCAAATGATTTGATCTGCTTGGTCTGTTTGACTGAGGTTCAGCTGTAGCGACTCTATACTTTGCCACAGACCAAAGAATTCTCGCAGTAGGATTGCATTCAGATTGTACGCAATGTCGCTACTCGCTAATCCATTTTCCTTGTAGCATAGCATCCCTGACCGTTATGTTTTTTCTCCTGCTGTGTTGACACAAGAGTGGGTATAAAGTTGATGGCACTCATCCGTCGATCCAGCTAGAGAACCGGAAGAATGCTCTTTTACCATTATGAATCGTCACTCTTGTGACAGCTGCAAAGAGGGTGATGTCCGTCACGTCAACCGGCAGCAACATACCAGCCCATGGCCGCTCCAGATTTTTCCAGGACATCCATAGCCAGCGCAGTCGGAGCACTCTGCTGAACCTTTCCAATGCCAGGATACCAAGTGCACCAAACTGCACAGGTCTAGTTACAAAGAGGCCATCCAACTTTGCACTTTCCTCCTGTGATCTCCCCCGTCTCCTGCCCAAAGAAAGCACCTTCAAATTTTGTCAAGGGTCATGTCAGTTGATGATTTACGTTCTTCATGGCAATGCACCTTGATCAACAAGATAAAAGGATCAACGCTCTCAGTAAATTATACTTCCTAAGCCCTAAAATAAATTTATTTAAAATTGTTCTAAGTTAAATATTTTTAAATTTTATATAAAAGAGCACTTGATATCAAAATTATACAACTGGATACATACACCAAGCATATTTTCATAATATATGTATTTGGTACCATAGATTGTTGCTAATTTTCTATTTAAAGTTGGTTAGAATTAAAATTGTTTCACTTTAGGATAACCATAGAAATCGATATATTATGGAACCGGGAGAGTATATAGTTTAAAACGACCACAATAAAACCAGAAGCAACAATTCTCTTGAAAAGTCTAACAAAAGACCTGCCATTGTATTGTTATTTGCGGAAAGATAGGCGCACTACCGAAAACAGTATATATGCCGAGTGTCTGGTTGTTTGCCGAGTGCATTCCTTCGAGCACTCTGCAAACAGTATCTTTACCGAGTGCCTACAGGTAAAAACTCGACAAAATAAACACACTCGGCAAAAAACTTATTTGCCGAATGCAGGAAATAAAACACTCGGCAAACAACAACAAGACACTCGGCAAAGAATAGACACTCGGCCAAAGACCGCCATGTGTGCCGGCCGTCAACTAGGGTGCCGGCCGTTAGAACTTTGCCAAGTGTCGGTTAGTGACACTCGGCAAACAGAATCTTTGCCGAGTGTTTTTATCTGGCACTTGGCAAATAGGTTCGTTTGCCGAGTGTTTTATTTTGACACTCGGCAAATTAAAAAGTTTTTTCCTCCCCTAACCTTGAAACTTTTTCTACGCTCCACATACAACATGTGGTACTCCATGTTAAGATTTGGTATATTTCTGTATCCGTTTGCTATATTTAATTAATTTATTGCCTTTAAAGGAATTTTTTGGTATAAGTCAAATTTGAACTACAAGTGATTCAAATAATATAATAAAATGAGTAGAAAAATAATATTCATGTTATTGAGTCCCGTGTGAGGCCTTATCCGGGAAATGAAAGGAAATTTTGAACATCTTGTTCACGAAACCCGACCACGAACGTGTGGCCGAATGGTTTTTAAATTCTTCAAAAAATCAAACGAAGTCTCAAAATCATGAGATTTGTCAAGATCACGTGATATCATACGTGGAGGCCATGGTAAAAAATTGAGAAGGTTTTGGACAATCTGTCACGTACGATGTTTACAAACCCAAGTATCTGAGAAGAAGAATGGTAGCGTTGAGAAAGATTCGGTAAGATTTAGAGTCAAAGTGACGGTCGAATTAGGGTTTGACTTCAAAGCTTTTTGTATAGCCAATAGAGAACATAGATTGATTCATGTGTAATTTTGGTAATTTTTTGGATCCGTTTGATAATTTTAATTTATTAAGTGCAATTATAGAATTTTAATTGATATACATTGAATTTGAGCTATAACCGCATGAAATAATAAGTTTTTTTTCATTTCTGGCCTTGAAACTTTTTGTACTCTCTGCATACAACATGTGATACTCCATGTTAAGATTTGTTATATTTCTGGATCCGTTTGCTATATTTATTTAATTTATTGCTTTTTAAGGAATTTTTTTGTTATAAGTCAAATTTGAACTACAAGTGATTCCAATATTAGAATAAAATGAGTAGAAAAATAATTTTCATGTTATTGAGTCTGGTGTGAGGCCTTGGCCTGGACATGAAAAAAATTTTGAACATCTTGTTCAGGAAACACGACCATGAACGTGTGGCCGAATGATTTTTAAAATCTAAAAAAAGCAAACGAAGTCTGAAAATCATGAGATTTGTCAAGATCTCATGATTTCATACGTGGAGGTCGTGGTAAAAAATTGAGAAGGTTTTGGACAATCTGTCATGTACGATGTTTACAAACCGAAGTATGTCAGAAGAATAATCGTAGCGTTGAGAAGGATTCGGTAAGATTTTAAGTCAAAGTGGCTGTCGAATTGGGGTTTGACTTCAAAACTTTTTGTATAGACAATAGAGAACATAGATTGATTCATGTGTAATTTGGGTAATTTTTTGGATCTGTTTTATAATTTAATTTATTAAGTGCAATTATAGAATTTTAATTGATATGCATTGAATTTGAGCTACAACTGCATGAAATAATAAGTTTTTTTTCACTTCTGGCCTTAAAACTTTTTCTACTCTCTACATACAACATGTGGTACTCCATGTTAAGATTTGGTATATTATAATGGAATAATATTCATAGAAAAATCAAGTGAAAAAAAGAAGGAAACAAAGAAAAATGAAAAAAAGTGGGTTGCCGAGTGCACCTAGTTTGGCACTCGACAAAGATGGGGTTGGACGAGTGTCATATCTAGGACACTCGGCGAACTCCCCTCACCCAGGCCTACACATAGTATTTTAGGGTTTAGGAAAAGGAGGATACGAAGGAAAATGAAGAAAAAAACTTGGTTTGCCGACAGCCCCTTATCTGGCACTCGGCAAAGATGGGGTTTGCCGAGTGTCAAATCTGGGACACTCGGCAAATAGGTTTATGGGCCCCACACATGCGGTAGTTTAGGTATTGAAAATAAAAAAAATCAAAACGGGGGTTTACCGAGTGCTAGATCGCGGGCACTCGGCAAACCACCCTCGTAACCACCCCAATCCCGCACCCGGTCGCACACACACGCACACACTCAAACACATAGCTGCGCGCCCATGCTAGCTCACACCACCGGCTGGCCCCGCTGCCCGCCCACACTAGCCCCCGGCGCCGCCCGCCAACACCCGCCCACACCACGCCGCCGGCCCAACGCCCGTGCCCACCCACATCAGGCCCCGGCGCCGCCTGCCCACACCACGCCGCCGGACCCGTGCCCACACCCGCCCACATCAGCCCCCATCACTGTTTCACCGCCCCAGGCGCCCGCCCACACCGCCAGCGCTCGCCTAGGCCACTGGTCCCGTGATTGCCCCTCGTCCTCTGCACCTATCGTCACCTCCGACGTCGACACGCCCCAAGCTCACGCCGTCGCCTCCGGCAGCCACGGTACCCGTGCGCTCCGTCGTCCGTGCGCGCTTCCCTAGCAGTCCTGGTGTCCGCGCGAGCTCCCCCGATGAGGCTGCACCGGTTGCAGTGTCCTCCAGCGTCTGCGCCCCCACCCCCAGCGTCCTTCTGCAGGTGATTTGCCCTCATAGCCAAAATCAGGTGCAGATGAGTTGAAATGTTTTTTCTGGCAATGTTGTGCATAGGCTCAATTTTCCAATGTTCCACAGTGCACAGCTTGCACAACCTACATGTTTCACTATTTTTTAGATAATGAACCTACATATTTCGCTTGGATGAGATATATGTAATCATGCTTATGAATGCTGGACTGATCTTTTACAGATATTTGTTAGTCTAGTTTGTGTTGATCACTAGCAGTGTCCATTGATATTGTACATCCTGATAGTTTCCCAGGATATCAGATTTGGTGAC